GTTTTGGTAAGTCTTGCTTCTTTAGATCTTAGACATCTTTTCTTATTATGCATAGAGATTTTAATTGCCTTCTTTTTATGCTAGAGTTAGAAATTGTAATTAAAAAAAAATTGACAATACAAATGTTCTCCTGTTTGCACATACAATGTTCGGTTTACACTAAATTTGTGATGGAATCGGTTGTTCAACTCCAGTTGATAATTCAGTTTTGGCATCCTGATTCAAAAAGTCAATGAGACCCAAGACTTATTTTTTACCCTGTTGCTCCCCATTCTGTGTAAATGGGAAAATCGTTAAATCTCTGAAATGTACACCTCGCACAAAAAACAAACCAGCCTCAACTATCTAACTAATTTTGTTCCAAATCATCTAAACACATGTAGGATCAAAAGCTAGCAAAATAATGTTGATTAGTCAAACAATCTACCTCCAGCAGACTCCCAAATTTTGGTTATTTTCGTAGAGAGGTGTCAAGTTCCCATGTTATCCAATGGAGACTGTATGCATATGGACACACTCACAGATTATTAATGTGCTCCTGTCTGCACATACAAAGTGTGATTTGCACTTGACTTGGTTTTTTAACATTAGTGCCCCCTACAGAGTGGGCCAAAGTTTTACATGGGAAGCCAAACATTTAGTATTATAGATAGTATGACTCATGTTGTGCAAAAAGACATGAAGTGTGCAAACATGTTAAATATTTATCCTGAACCAAGTGCAATTATAGAGTTATATTTCATTCTATTTTATTGTATTTTCTAGTTTCTTGTGATGTGTGCCATCTGAGTGCTCTTATTTCCTACTTTTTATTCTGCTGTGATGTGCGCAACATTGACATTGACATTTCCCCATTGTGGGACTAATAAAGGTCTATCTTATCTTATTTTAAAGTGGCACGAGCAAGAGTAAATGCACCTTCTGTCTCCCATTCAACAGAACAATAATAGTGCTGTCTGCTTGTCTGCATAAATATGGCTTATTACCATAGACTGTAACATTCCAAGCAACACAAGAGCATGAAGATGCATTGTTCCAAAGTACAATTCCAAATGAAAATGTGAAATAATGAAATAATACTGTATGTCATAAATAAGTCACAATATCTGACAATGGGACTGTGCAACTATCACCACAGTCTTGTAGTATAAGCTGTATTTACAGTCAGCTATTAAAACAATAAACATACATTGTCGGCAATTAACAGCAGCAGGTCAAGCGTGAACGGGTCATTCATTCTAAAGAGCATAAACAGACGCCATTCTGTGGAGCAATTATAAATGTTTGAGGTCCGTTAAGGCATGTGAGGTGAGGACTCTTATGTCACTGAAGATTTTTACTGGCAAATTACGCTCCGAAAAGGCTATTGTTTGAATAGTTGAATAGTCAGCATGTTTTTGAACCAAATTTAAAGTTGAAATATGGTAACAGAAGGCTTCAAAAGTTACAGATAGTGGATATTATTAACAAAAATGTATGAAAAACGTGAAATACTTTTGACTATAATATAATATTGTATTTGTTATTAGAATAAAGACATAGCACATCAGCAATATAGACACACACAATCTTAAAACAAGAATCAGAAGAATCAGTAATGAGAAGTCTCAAACTAGGATATTGCTTTGGCTCTCTGTGTTAGTTAAAAAGTAAAAACAGAATATGGCATGCATAAATAAATACAAAATCTACATTACGTTTTGTAAAATTACTACTATATACAACTATATTAAGTGCTTACATGGTTTACAAACAAGACATGCTAACAATTTCTTTCTCATATCAAGTTCAAATGTTTTGTTGTCGCCTGTTCCATTTCTTGCAGTGCATGATTGTTTATGCTCATTCCTGATGGTCAATGTATGCCAAATTCTAACCACAGGGACTGAAGTTTATATTTGCTCTACTGTTCAAACTTGCGTACGGCTTTGGTCAAATGTTTAGCAGAGTATTGCGGCTCTGGTGGGAATGTGGGACGATAGCCGCAGAGTCTGTTTGGTTTCCATCACACTGGGCTCAGACTGATTCAGACGCTGAGAGCAGCGCCTGTTGGTTCAGTCATTGTAATAGTACGACTCAGGCAGCAGTAACACAATGTTTACTGACTTGAAAAGAAGGCTGGGGCAATTTTAGAACTTCACTCAACAGTGCAAGGGAAACAAAGAATAAGAAGAAGCTGTTGGAATCAAGCTGTTTGGTTCAGTTGAGTTTTATTACAAATACAAAATAAAATCATGGGACATTCATTCATAATTAGTGACATTGTTTAACTTATATTCATTCATGTACTCACTGATTAATGAAAAACTTGTGAACTTGTTTTGTTATCAATTATATATATATGTATATATTTTTACCTTACATAAACAAGAGGAGGTTTTATAATTAACCATAGATAATTCTATAATACCTGTAGAATTAAAAGAAAAGATCTTTACGAAGTCAGGCCTTGACATTAAGCTTTGTCAGTACCATTTTGCCCAATGTCAAAAGTTACTTGCCCAAATATTTCTCAATACAATGAGATAACAAGAGTTTGGCAACAAAGTAGCACTAAATGTGTGGGAAAATATATAAAAACACCACTACCCAAAAAGTCAACTAATGACTTCCAGGGCTCTTAAGTATGCAAAATAAAAAAAAGACGCCTGTTGGGGTGTGTTCTATTGGATTTGTTCACAACATTTTACTTTGGTGCACAACCAACATGCATTGTTAAATGTTGGCAGCTTTATGGTCCTGCCCTTGCGTCTATGGTCCTGCCCTCGCGTTTATGGTCCAGTCCGCGGCGTCTATGGTCCTGTCCGCGGCGTCTATGGTTCAAAGCGGCCCCAGCTGCCCTGGGCTCAGAACGGAGGATGTGAATGCCGTTCGAGTATGCAAACAACAGAAAGTGCCCGCGGTTACACATTTAACAAAAATGACGTTTTCAGCAAAAAAAGTTGTAAATTGCGGATCCGCGAAACATTTTAATTCCTTGTTTATCCAGATGCATTTCATTTATCCAGAGAATTTACTAATGAAGAGAATTAGTCAAAAAAAGATAAACAGCCTCTCCAGATGAAGACATGCGTTCTCGGCCTGAATGGGTTAAAGTAGAGGTGCAACGGTTCATCACTGATCCGTGATCCGTTCGGTTCAACGTCTTCGGTTCGGTACAGACGTGATCCGCGGTTTGATTTATGAAAAAAAAGTTGTGCGCACGTTGTTCAGTCCACACACAGCGCGGTCATTGCGAGCGGAGGAACGGAGATGCTTGAAAGCCCTGCGTCATTTAAATCCCCAGTATGAGAGCATTTTGGCTTCACTGTAACTACACTGATAATTAATATTCGACAAAACTGTCACGATGTGTAAGCACTGTGGACCAAGAAAGACATGAGTGAAAAAAGCGTCTCAACGACCGCTTATTGTCGCGGCATTTAAGCAGCTCCTTTACGCACAGTCAGACCGGGCTAAAGTCAACTCTCCCGCGCATCCTCAGCTGCGCTCACGACTGACGCTTGGACGTCCCGCGGAACCTATAATAGATCCATGAGCGGAACCGCTCACTTCATCACCGCAGACTGGGAGATGAGAAGTCTGGGGCTGAAGACACGCCCCCTCTACGACAGTCACACAGTCACACAGCGCAGGTACTGACACAGCACAGGTACTGACACAGCACAGGTACTGACACAGCAGTGGAGGAAGACAAAGGCCCAGTACTAATATCCCAGTCACAACTGATAATGCCAAAAATTAAATAAATGCAGTGAATGAGGCTGGGCCCAGAATGGACCCCCTCCTCGGGAGAATCAGGAAGGTGGTTTAATATATGAGGGTAAATATCCTCATAAAGTGCCTTCTTATGTTGCACTTTGTGTTGTTTTTCATTAATTATGTTAAATAGACATAATTGGATGGATGGAATATGCCATCCATCCATCCATCCATTTCCTTCCCCTTAATTCATTTCTAGGTCAGGGGGGGCAGTCAGAGCAGGTGCCGAGTCCACATGAGCTGTGTTTATTAAAAAGACAACACTTTTTTTTTGAAAAATGAACCGAAAAATGAACCGAACCGTGGCCTCTGAACCGAGGTACGATCCGAACCGTGATTTTTTCAAACCGTTGCACCCCTAGGTTAAAGTAATACATCACTTGCCTGATCGGGCAACTCGCTAAAACAGCGCACTTGCCCATCCCAAATCTTTACTTGCCCCAGGCAAGCGGACAACCGTTAATGTCGAGCCCTGATATATATATCCATCCATCCATTTTCTACCCCTTAATCCTTTTCTGGGTCGGATGGGGCGGCCAGAGGTGCCACCCAGTACACATTACACCAGCCCCTCACTGATCGTCCTGCTGGGGGTGAGTCCAGAGGAGGTGGCTGCTCTATGGCAGAGCCTTGATCTTTCAGAGGGGGCTTCAGGCAAAGTGGGGTTAAGTGTCTTGCCCTAGGACACAAAGACAGCAGTGTCATCAGTGGGAGTCGATGGAGAAGTTCTCATGGTGGGCTCGGTGGCCACGACCTTCAGACTCAAAGGCCAATGCTCTACCAACTGAGCTACCGTCGCCCCAATATATATATATATATATATATATAATTTACTATGTCTCTCCCTCTGTTTACTCCCGTCTCTCTTTGTTCACTCCCGTCTCTCTCCCTCTGTTTACTCGCGTCTCCATTTTTCTCCTCGCGTCTCTCTTTCTCTGTTTACTCCCGTCTCTCTCTCTCTCTGTTTACTCCCGTCTCTCTCTCTCTGTTTACTCCCGTCTCTCTCTCTCTGTTTACTCCAGTCTCTCTCCCTCTATCACGCAGATGAACGGATTCATTCAAACCAAATAGTGCGTTACATATTTACACCCAAAACACATTTTATCCAAGGTGACGTGATCCTAACACTTTTATTCGCTGACAAAAGCAGAAAAACAGTTTAGCACCATGGGTCTCCGCGCGACCAAACCATGGATACGCTAGACTCGGGAGCTGGACTCGGGAGGTGGACTCGGGAGATGGACTCGGGAGGTGGACTCGGGAGGTGGACTCGGGAGCTGGACTCGGGAGCTGGACTCGGGAGCTGGACTTGGGAGGTGGACTCGGGAGATGGACTCGGGAGGTGGACTCGGGAGGTGGACTCTGGAGCTGGACTCGGGAGCTGGACTCGGGAGCTGGACTCGGGAGCTGGACTCGGGAGCTGGACTCGGGAGCTGAACTCGGGAGCTGGACTCGGGAGCTGGACCAGGGAGCTGGACTCGGGAGCTGGACTCGGGAGCTGGACCAGGGAGCTGGACTCGGGAGCTGGACTCGGGAGCTGGACTCGGGAGCTGGACTCGGGAGCTGGACCAGGGAGCTGGACTCGGGAGCTGGACTCGGGAGATGGACTCGGGAGGTGGACTCGGAAACTGGACTCGGGAGCTGGACTCGGGAGCTGGACTCGGGAGGTGGACTCGGGAGGTGGACTCGGGAGCTGGACTCGGGAGCTGGACTCGGGAGGTGGACTCGGGAGGTGGACTCGGGAGGTGGACTTGGGACCTGGCTGCGCGCTGTGATTGGCTGTTTGGATTTGTCAATCACCTCCCGGCTTTCAGTATCATTATTAAATGTATTATTTTTGACAACAAACAGCATACTTATTGTGTATTGTTTTCCCTGTTTTTGTCGACAGTATTTAAAAAGCATTTAAAATACGAAAGAAAATGGCTTAAATGCGCGTCATATTCGTCATCAGAGTGGTAATCGTCACTGAAGTGGACCCGGGCGTTTCACTGCCTCTCGAGAGTGAAGGAGACATATCGCTCTTACTAAAGCTTGACAGAATAAATGAAAAATCCTCTCTGCATGTGTATGAGGCCAAATAGCACTGTAATCATGTTTAAAGCAGAGAAAAGTCAAAAAGCATAATATGGGACCTTTGATATTCACTTCACTTATCTAGTGTTGTGTGCCCATTACTCCGACTGTTCTGTAACTTGTCATGCAACACTGGGGGATGAGCATGACACTGCATATTTCCTCTTTCTACAACGACCGAGGCTGGTTTGTTTCGTAACTATACGTTTTTCTTCCACTGTATACCTTTGGCTCACTCTGTAGGGGGCGCTAACGCTGCAATTTTATCTTTTTCACTTTCAACTGACCTTGATCTAAGAGTTGAACAACCGATTAAAGTTTGGTGCATATCGAACTTTGTACAGTATGAGTAAACAGGAGCAAATTTGAAAATGTCAAATTTGGGAAAAAATTTGAACCAATTCTGTGAAGCGACCGAGGTGGAGATGTTGTCATACAATGTCTAACTTTGGCTCAGTCAAAAGAGGGCGGTACAAAATATTACAAAATATGCAGACATGTTAATCTTATTCTTTATGCATTTTTTCTAGTTTTACTGTAATCCTCAAAATGTTATTATTCCACACTTCCAGAAAGACATCTGGACAAGTGCAATTTGATTTTTTGATAGAAATACTAACATAGAAGTATGTAAATGACATTGTTTATCATTATTTCACATACTTTGTTTGATGAAGGTTTTATGAATGAATTTGAGTAAATATTAATTGAAGAGTAAGGGTCTATTAATAAGTAAGGGACAATGTCTAGAGCACAGGTCTTTTCAGAAAACAAGTACTGATAGGAGAGCGAACTGGACCCCAAAGCTAAGCAAAGGTCTACACTCTGACGGTAAATGTTTTATTAATGTTAATGCTTACTCACGGGTTAACCGCGATTTCTCCTAATCATCATTTGGACATAAAGTCATCTGTATTTGGTTTCTCAACAGAATCACAAAGTTTAAGTCTTGACACAGTTTATAAGAATGCATTTGTTTATTTTTGAGGAAGGGGAAAAGCTTCACCTCATCAAGCTGCTCGACAAGATAAAGGGTAAGAGTACGTTCACTTTGGTTTATGCACTGAAACACATATCTAAAGTTTGACTTGTTAGAGATTCCTGACCAGTTACACACAACTTTAACTGTAAACAATTACTTTGCCAATGAAACAAGAACTTATTTCGTATCCCATTGGCCAAAAGTTGTTGTTTAAATTAAAAAGTGTGAAAACTCACCAGAAACATCTTAAAGCAGGTGAAACCTCTGAAGTCATGTTAGATCTTCTGAATACTAACTATGTTCACTGACTAAGATCATACCTCCTCAAGTCACGTATGACTCGACAAGATAAAGATCTAGTTTAGTGTCATGTTAGCGTGATGCTAGCTTTGTCCTGAACACCACGTCTAACACTAATGTCTGTGTTTGTTTTAGAAACACCACCAACTCTTCCTCCTCTTCTTCTTCTTGTGCAGCCCATTGACTTTGTCCTGGAGCTCATGAACCTGGAGCTCCAGAGCAGTGTTGTAGTCCTGAGAGGAGGTCAGGTCCTCAGACAGCTTCTGTACCTGCTGCTCCAGGATCAGCCGGCTCTGTTTCTCTGAACACAGCTGATCTCGGTGGAGCTGCTGAAGCTTCTTCTTGAGGACTTCCTTGATGTCTCTGTTTCAGGCAGGATGTTCTCTAGTATTTTTCATATTGTTGCTCTTTAGTTCCTCCTGTCTGAGCTTGGTCACCTGACCTTTCAGACTTTTCTCTTCTTCGGACCTCTGGGTATCCTGGAGGGCCTGGGCTCGATTGTCTCTTTTCATCACCTTTTCCTCTAGGTCAAAGTTGGCGACTTTCAGGTCTGCGATCTCCGCCCACACAGCTTCCCTGGCTTCCTCCACTTGTGCAGCAAAAGCAGAAGCCTTCTGTTGTTTCAGATGATTGATCGCACACTCTTTGTTCTCCAGCTTCTTGTTGTGCTCATTCTGGACATTCTCACACTGTGCTTTGAAGGCCCGTGTCTGCTCCTGTTCAGTCTGAAGCGTCTCTTTGAGCTCCTCTACCAGCTGCAGCAGAGCAGTCTGGGAGGTCTGGGCCTCTCCGGTGGCCTGCTTCTCCTGGTCCAGGGCAGATCTTAGGGCGGACACTTGTATCTTCAGCTCGTGCGTCTCTCTCTCCTTCTCCTGCAGTTTGCGCTCAGCTTCACTGGTGGGACACTTCTCTTGGTTCAGGGCAGACGTGACAGAGTCCAGTGTTGTTGAGAGCTTCTGCGTCTCTGTCTGTAACTGCTCCACATGTCTCTGGGCTGTGACTGTGGCTTGGTCTCTCTCACTCAGATCTGACTGGAGTTGGGTCACCTGACTCCTCAGTGACTCCTTCTCCTGCTGCTCCTGCTGCAGCTCCTGTTGCAGAGCTGTGATCTGGTTCCTCAGAGCGGCCTTCTGTCGGGACGTCTCAGAGATTGCATCCAGGAGTCTCTGTGCTCTCTTATCTTTACGGTCCAGTATAGTTTCGAGCCTGGCGTTTCTTTCAGACAGATCGCGTATCTCGTCCTCCACAGCTTGCTTGACCTCCTGCACCTGGTCACGAAAAGCATCTTCAGCCCTATCCTCTAAACTCCTGATGACATTGTCTTTGGCTTCCAGCTCTTTCTTGTGCTGATTCTCCACATACTCCATCCAGTGCTCGCACTGAGCTTGGTGGCGAGATTTGAAGGCCCAAATCTCGCCTGGATCTCGCTCTACATCCAGTTTGAGGTTCTCTATCTGTGTGAGAAGCTCTTCCTGGGAGGCCTGGTTCCTCTGCTGTTCCCTCTCCAACTGTAGCTTCAGCTCTTGGTTCTGTCTGAGCAGATGTTGAGAGAGGGCCTGGTCCTGCGGAGCGTCCACAGACACAGTGTTATTAATGAGTTGTGTAGGAAGTGGCGGTTGGTCCTGGCGCGGCGTCCTGCGCCTCCTGCAACGCAAACTGTGGCTCATGTCAACGTTTTCGTTGCGAAAATCCATGTTTTGCTTTGTTCGTTTATAACTTCTCTGTGCTATTGTCTGAAGTTATTCCACTCCCATCAACTCAAACCTAGGCCCTTGATTATGTCAGAATGCTGATGTCATAGTTACCATAGCGACAGCTATTCGGTGGAATCATCTGGTTTCCATAGTTACCAATGTTACATTACACTTAACTGTAGAATATATATATATATAATTTTATTTAAAACTCAGACTAACTAAGAGCTCATTGATTCAGCTTGTGTATGAATTCAGGCCCCAAAAAGTGCTGAGTAGAGACTTAGCGTGACGCTCGCTCACCTCCAATCACAGAACAGGCTGCGTCCTCTAGCCTCTACAGCGCTGCTAAACAAGAGCAGAATGGTGGCAGAAAGTGCCCATATCTGGCTGTAACTGCATACACAGCAAAACAGCCCGAACAATGCAAAGGTGAGGAAGAGAAGAGGGAACTAAAGCGAAAAAATTATCAAAGAAGAAATCAAGCTCGGGTGAACATAGCAAGCTTACATCGTATCCTCTGGAGAGACTTATCTATGGGAGAGAGGCCTATGGGAACCGCCTATCTGCTAGCAGTGCGTTGCTTTTGTATCATTTCATCAGTGATTGTAGTACAACTTACAAGAAGTTGCGCTCATGCTAATGTTTGCATATGCATCAAATCGCAAATAAACCTAGATAGCTCCATGGAATGAGAGCGTAGGGGAAATGAGAAGCCTGTGAGCGAGTTGGGGGCGGTGCTAAACATTCAAACCTTGCAGAAACGGGTATAGCTCCTTCAAGTAATTATTTTTGCGACAGTGATAGTCTATAGACAGCAGCTACTATTTTTTCAGTCTATTATAATATTCTAGTATATTACATCTACATAGTTTGGGCTTAGTTTGTGTGGATCTCAAACCTCAGTCTGCTTTATAATCTTCATCACACATATTAAGCCATAAGTTAAGTCAATGTTTTGGGGTGCGCACAAAGACACACAATGGCCGTCTTTTTTATGGCTCTCAATGTCCTTCACAAGCTTCCAGATGATGTCACTCTAGCCTCTGCCAGCTCGGCCCATGCTCCATGTTAAATCCCACTTGACAGAGCTTTTGTTTGTCATGAGGAGCCCCAAACCAAAGGAAATGTGTGTGTGTGTGTGTGTGTGTGTGTGTGCAGAAAGGAACAGCCTAGACCAAACAGAGACCGCTTTAGTATGCCACTCTTACTTGGATTGTTCCCTATGTGGCATCTACAGACGTATATCTCTATCTATCGCCATAAAAATAATCACGTCACATGTTTTTTTGTGAAACTTTACAAGGCATGGTGTTTGGCATGGAACCAGTCGGTTTGTGGATTGAAATACAGGAAGAATGTCTAATTGGTGATGATACATTACACATCATTGAAGAACAGGCGCCAATGAATCAAGGCAAGGCAAGTTTATTTATATAGCACAGTTCACACACAAGGCAACTCAAAGTGCTGAACAAGATAGCATTAAATAATCATAAGCATCATAAATAATCACAGAACATTAAACAGAAAGATAAAAATATAAAATCCCTCAGCTAAACAGCACTGTTTTTAACCTGGTTTTAAACATTGTCAGAGAGGAGGCCTGTCTCCACAGCCTGTTGTGAGAGACCTTTGAGCAGGCCATTGCAGTAGTAGTAGTGCAGTAGTCTGGAGACAAATGCATGGATAAGAATCTCCAAGTCTGCTTTAGACACTATGTTTTTGATCCTGGCAATGTTTTTTAGATGGTAAAAAGCTGCTGATGTTACTGATTTGATGTGGCTATTAAAATTTAAGTCTGAGTCCAGTATTACCCCTAGATTTCTGACCTGGTTTGAAGGTTTTAGGGAGAGAGACATACAAGCGTCAACATGGACGCATGTATGTCAAATATAATGTTAACTGCTTCTTCTGCCAATGCTGAGGCAAGAGCTGTGGTGTGCGCTATCTGCTCGATCTGCTCTGTCTGGTGCACACTGGGGGTTTACTGCAAATGGAAAAGAAACTGAATCTTTATTCTTGAATTGACATATTAACCAATTATCTTTAAGAGGATCGCATATTTGTTTTTGCTGTCATCTACTGTTTCCTTTAAGGTAATAATATTAAGACATTTTACTTATCACTGTGTCCCAGGCCCTCATGCTGCTAAAATGTACAGATGTAAACACACAACTACAAATTGCTTGCACTAGAATACACAGTAATTGCCTCTTATTTTTCCAAATTTAGAGATGTTATTCTTGTTTTTGGATGCAAGAGTTAGATATTTTATTGGATTTTAATTAGTATAGTTATTGTTCATTCATCTTGGGCTGTGTGCTCCTCATTCCTACTGTTCTGTAACTGGTGATGCAACACTGACATTTCCCCACTGTGGGATGAAAAAAGGATCTCTTAATCTTAATCTTATGATGAACCCTATTTGTCTTCATTTGTCATTTGACCCCAAATCCCAAAGTTTCCCATACCACTACAAACACAATAGTGTGGGTGAGTGTATATAGAACACACATGCATATTAACCCTCCTGTTAGTCTATCCATGGCCTCACACCAAAGTACTTAAGTGACTTGTTAGTGCCATAGGAACTAGGACTCTGAGGAGCACAGGGACTGGACTCCTGTTAGTGCCCAGAGTCAGAACTAAACATGGGGAGGCTGCATTTCAGATTCATGCTGCTAAAATTTGGAGCAATCTTCCTGAAGATGTGAGACAGGCTTCTTCTCGGACAATGTTTAAATCCAGGTTAAAAACAGGGATTTTATATTGTTATCTTTCTTTTTAATGTACAGTGATTATATATGCCTTGTGTGATTGTTTTTTTCATCACTTTGAGTTTTCTTGTGTATGAATTGTGCTATTCAAATAAACTTTCTTTGCCTTGCCTGAACCCAAGACTACAAACCGGAGAGGAGTTTTCAATGACATGCACTGTCCCAACCTACTGAACAACACATTAGTTCCATCCTCTAGTCTACATTCTTGATGGAGGTTGGGAATCATGGAAAACAACCTTGACCAGGAAGTTATCAGATAAGGTTTTTTTTTACTACTCTTGCTGTAAATTCAACAAAACATATCTTTTTCCAACAGAAAATACCTCTACAAATCAAATTAAATAAGTAAAGTCCGATTTAAACGTAATTCAATCAATCAAAGTGCCTTTTATACACAGGGAAACACAAATCCCTTCACAGTCCACATCACACAAATCATAGCATAAAACAAATACCAAAATCAACATTAACATTTTTTAATATGCCAAAAGAAAATAGATCTACTCCATCTCACCACTGGCTCAAATGCCAGTATGGAAGCATCCCAATTGACAACGAATCATTTGGATGACTTTTCCCTTTTCCTGTGAGCGGCTGTAGAATCCTCTCCATCAGACCTGTTCAGTGCAGAGCAGAGATCACTGACTTTGTAGCACAGATGTCAGATGTGTGCACACTTGTATCTACAAACTGCTGCACATGACTGAAGTGGGCCAATGTTTCCACGGGTTCAAGCTCCTCAGATGTGATGGGGCATATGTGCTCAGATTAGTGGAGTGGTGCAGAGTCATGGAGGCAGAGGAGAGAGCCCCTACACAAGTGCTGTAAAAATAGAAAAGATTACTTTGTCGGATATAAGTAGGACATATTTCCATACTGTGTAACTACTGTATATGTTCAGATCTAAGGAGTCTTGCAGATGAGTGCCATCAAAGGTGTTTACAGACTACAATATCTCCGCAAAGAGAGACTATTCCTCAGTCTTATACCGTGATTGCTTTTGTTATGACCATATACTGTGGATTGCAGATATGTTGGTTGCTGAGTGGTTAGCACTACCACTTCTCAGTAAGAAGTTCCTGGGTACAAATCCTGGTTGGATCAGGGTCTTTCTGAGTGGAGTTTGCATGTTTTCCCCGTGTCTGCGTTGGTTTCCTCTGGGTGCTCCAGTTTCCCCTACCACTAAAAACATGCACAAATGAAGCTTAAGTGCAAATTCAGACTGGAAGATCAAAGAGACATCATGCTGCCACACTGACTCCTCCCTCTACATTCTGCTCCTGAGCTCAACATCAGCCTCAGCTGCTCAGGAACAGACCTGAGCTCATCACTTCATGGCTACATTTAAACAGAGCCTCTCAGCAATCTTCGTTTTGAGTCTTTCAGATTGAAAAGGTAAAATCCTCCAGCTCTGGTCCTGACCAAGCTGAGAATCAACATCTGAAGATGGGTCCCCAGGCGCTATACTGCGGCGACCACTGCTCCTGACAGACGCCCTAGTGGCATCATGATGGGTCAAATGCAGAGGATGAATCGCCTTACGGGGATAAATAAAGTGCACATTGACCTTTAAATTGAGCTGTTGACAAACTTTACACTGGCCTTCAAAGTTGGGAGAAGTACTGGTAAAGTTGTGTTGTTAAAGGACAAGGACCATGAGCTTTATGATAAGTAATCCATCTCAAAGCCTTAGTACACATAAGAGTAAACAGAGAACCTCCATTCTTCAGATTTATTTGATTTAACAGTTTTTTTGTTTGTTTTTTTATCACAATGTGATTTTCTTTACAGCTGCCTTGTGCAAAATCTACTTTCACAGCATTTCTGCACTGGGGAAAATGTCATGTGGATCAGATGCAGTCCTTTTTATTTCATGAACTGTGTTTTACTTTCCAGAAAGTGTTTCGAAATGTGACTCATAATTTGACTCTTTGTTCTTTTCACTTTTGTGAGTGCAGTTGCTGCTTTATCATTGTGTTCATGGCCAAACATACATTAAAAGTTGGATGTTTTCTACAGAATTCCATAATCCTCATCCCAGATACAGGTACACACTGAGAGTCATGTGTCACACAGTATGTTCCAGAACAAACGTGGAACCTGATGTTGCTGACAAATGGAATACACATTATTCGACATGGAAAAATATGGGATTTCCCACAGTGCACTGCTCCATTTGGATGATGCAGC